TAAAAAATATGCATGCACACTCTCTCAGCCCCAGAAAAGCCATGGAGAACCCCCTGTGGAGATTTTGCCAAGAAAACCTCAAGAACAAATAATAACAACAATAATCAATATCATCATGGTGGCAGGGGGCAGCGGCGGTGGCGTCAGCAGGACCGGCCTGGGGCCGGTCCAAAGGCCTCCAGGGGCCGCATCCGGCCCCCGGGCCTTAGGTTGCCTACCCCTGCCTAAGAGTGATCATGAAGAAGGATCTATATTTGAAAAGTATTGGGCTCAATCAACATAATTCTGTGCACCTTTCTGTTTTTCTGCATGCCACCAGTCCTTTTTCAAACCATTACTACTATACTCTGGATATGAGACTGTTGAGTATAGAGATAGTCTCTCAAGTTTTGAAAGAAGCAGAAAATTTGTCCCAGCATAAAAAAGGGGGGAGGATTCTATGAGGATTATTTATGAGCTTTCATGGATATCAAATCCATTTCTTCAGATGCATTGGGGAGTACAAAGTAAAAAGCAGTAGTCAGGGAGAAGAATCATAGGTTAGGTGGCATATTCTATCATGTAAATTTCTAGTCTGACATGGTCCAACCCAACTGGAGGTCACCACTTCCATTAGGCCAGGGGTAGGCAACCTTTCCCCTTTAAGGGCCGAGGGACTTCAACTCCCAGAATCCCAGGAGCTATTGGCCAACATGGGACTATTGGCCAACATGGCTGAGGCTTCTGGGAACTGAAGTCCCTCGGCCCTTAAAGGGGAAAGGTTGCCTACCCATGCATTAGGCCAATCAGTAGTTGCATGTTGGGATAAGTAGGGCAGTCATTGCAGCCAGGAGGATGATCATGCTAGCTCTCACCTTTAAAAGTTGGTACATTTTCTTTAGAACACAGTATTGGTCAAAAACATCATAAAGTCCCTCTCCTTAGTCAATGTATAAAAGACAAGGGTGTAATAATAGGGCAGGAGGATGTAATTCACAAATATAATATTCTCAGACACTCTAACTGTCCAAATTTGGAAGGGTCAGTTCTGATTAATCCTCTACCATCCTACATTTTCAGCTGCTTTAAAAATGTCCCAGTTTCTCTCCTCCTCTTACTTTCTTCTTTGTCTTCAATTTATTTCAATTTCTGCATACTGAGTTCAAAGTGAAAACGTAGTTTGCACTTGATTAACTGAGCCAGGAGTTAAAGGAGAGCAGAGGAGGGGGAGGAATCTTGTCCTTCCCAGTGTTCTTCCTCATTTGGTGCTTTGGTGTTGTTTGACCACACAAGTCCTGGTTTTCATTATGAAATGTTGGAGAGTATGAATTTTGTAGATTATGCAAGATGAAAACCTGGAAATATATTCTAGAATGAGACACCGAGAAGTGTTTTTATGGATGGTGTGTTTGTTTGTATAACAACCTATTGTTTAATTCCTTATTAATTACAGGGCATGGGCTCTGGGGATATTTATATTTTTTGCAGAACTTTCATCTTTATATTCATTGTATTCAGCACATAACTGCAGTATGGATGTTAGTATCCAGTACATATGCAGTGTAAAAGTGTATGCCTGAATATATCTAGGAAAGATCTGAAAAACTGACAAATTCATTCCAGTTTAGTGAATCCGCTCATGTTTGATCTGAGGCTGAATGCATTAAGTATTGAGAAACTGGAAAATTATAAATGGAAAAAGGTGGTGGGGAGGGATTCCTTTTAAGTATCAAAACTGGATGTTTTCCCATTAAGTTGGTCCATGATTCTTGGGAGAATTGAATAAGAATGATATGTAAGAGAAGGGGAGTAAAAACAACTGTCAAGAACTGGTTTATGTTTCAGAGGATGTTAATGGGGTCTGTTGAAAAAGAGGGATGGATTCTGTCTGGTATGCAGTGTCTGTGTAGGAAGGAGTATTGAGTCACACCTGAATGTGTCACAACAACTTGTATCTCTCTGTATACATGTTGGAAGGGTAGTTTAGTAGTTGAACATGCCTTGTAATCAGCTGTAGCAATAATTTTATATTTCTCCTGAAAAAATAAAATGCATGAGATTTGTTTGCTTTCCAGTTGAGACACAACCAAGTTAGCTAAAGGTGATCATTGTCAAACAGGAGAAACTTTGCCTGAATCAGCAGACATCAAATTATCACTTCAATATGCAGAATTCCTTTGGAAGATGTTGACACCTGGTTAGAGATGTAGGTCACATCATCCTGCTAATTTTCATGCAAAATAACTTTAGCAGAACACCTCACTTTCTCCCCTATTGAGCTGCCAAACCAGTTTTATTCTTGGTTTACCAGAATAAAACACAATTTGATTCCAATTTCCAGATCACGTTGGCAAAAGGGGTCCCTGGGGATATGTGTGGCCCACCAAAACTGCTTTTGTAATCTTTGACCCCTTTCCACAAATGTAAGGATTTTTTTTCCTAGACAAAAAAAGGTGAATCAATTTTTTGAAGGCTTTATTATTATATTTATTATTATATTTATTTATATCCTGCTTTCCCCCCAAAATTGGGACACAAAGAAACTTACAAATTAAAAGATACTTTTTGGAACAATATCTCATCTTTCAACTAGATTGGAGGTTCCTATCACATTGATTTAGCAACAAAAACTGGATTAGTGGATTTCTGATTTTCTCTTTTATGGAAAAAAAATATTTTTGGCAGTTTGTCCAGTGAGCAGGAAATGGCCCTACTGACTTGCCTCAATTGCCCATCCTACTCCAGGGGAACAGGTCAGGCTATTACAGCACAAACAACAGTGAATCTTGTGTGTGCCTAGAAACTAAAAAATTGTATTGTGTGTAAACTCTTTCATAAGCTGTAGCTGCAGATACAATCTGTTACATTTTTGATCTGAACTATGAGAGCCAGCATGGTGTAGTGGTTTGAGTGTTGGACTATGATTCTGGAGACCAGAGTTTGAGTCTCTGCTTGGCCATGAAACCCACTGGGTGACCTTGGGCAAGTCACATGCTCTCAACCTCAGAGAAAGCCATTGGCAAACCTCTTCTGACCAAATCTTGCCAAGAAAAACCCATAATAGGTTTGCTTTAGGGTCACCATAAGTTGGAAAAGAGTTGAAGGTACACAACAACAAGGACTAAAAAGTTGTATTCTGTGTAAATGTGTTCATAAGATGTAGCTGCAGATACAACCTCTCACATTTTTTTTAATCTGAGCTATGTTGAATAAATCTGAGCAGTTTTAAACATAGTTCCACTAAGCAACAATAAATAAGATGAAGAACCTCAGCTGAGATGGGATGCACCAATAAACTACCTACTTGAAATCATTAAACAAAGACAACAACAAGCATCAGGAAAGTCTGCGTTAAAACTAGGGATTCAGAAAAAATACTTGATCATTTTGTGGCGCTTGAAGAGAAAGGGTGCCCAATGCCCAATGAGAAAGTGGTTGTGAGATTTTTTTCCATTTTGGACCTTTTTGCAAAATAAAATAAAGTAAAAAACCCAAAACAACCACAAATCTCTTTTTTGTATTAAAAAATATTAAGAAATTGTGGTATTGGTTTGAAATACATTGTTTTCCCTGAGTATTTAAATTTTTTTTTGGTAGAAATAAATGCACATTTTAAAATAAAAAATGGCAAAATGTGAAAAATAATGGAAAAAAAACATGTAAAAGTCTTGTAATCTCACTCAGTTTGGAGAATACACTTAAAATGATTCATTCCTGCCTTTAGGATTAAATTTACAATCTTAATTAAAGCTAATTATTTTCCACTGCAGAGAAAAGTTTAAACAAATAGTGGTTCTGAGAAATTAGATTAACTTTAAAACAGGCAGCTGTACTATGCTTACAATTTTTTATGGTCTGAAATCGATCATGACAATTACTACCTGCTGATGTTATTTCAAATGTACATTCATCCACTGAGATGAAGAACACAAAATGATTACACTATGTGTAATATGACAAGAATCTGGAGTGCTCAGTGATGACAGTAACTTCCCATCTCACTAATGCTCTTCCTTTATAACTTAACCACTTAACGTGAGTCATTTTGTTACCCACCTCCTTTATACCACTCGAACTTGCCAAGATATATTAACACAGCATAGAAATGCTGGTAGGAGGCAGCAGGAAAGGATTAAGATGACAAAATGCAGTAGCTACAAGAACATTTACTCAATATTAAAAAACACCTTCTGACAAATACAAAAACAAACTCCTTAATAACCTGGGAGTTAAATATGATTAAACAAATATGCTAATGCTAAATGTAAGACTTTCTGCTCATAGAAAAGGCTGAATAATATTTACCGGCAATTGTCACTTGAAGAGCTCCAACCAGATGTTTATGCCACCTGTTCTATTTAGTTTAAATTTTTTTGAGTAAACTGAGGAAAAGCTGGAGAGTGAAGGACAATTTTGAGCAGAAAGTACAAACGAGGGAACTGAGAATGAGTGACTTGGACTAAACCATGCAATAATTGGTTAGAAACAGACAGGACTGATGACAGCTTCAAAGGTCTTCCTCTAAGTGCCCACAGCTACAAATCTGAGTTAGGCAAGCAAAAGGGTCTTCCTAATGGTGGCATCTCACTTATGAAATGCTGTCTGGCCAGGGATTAAGTGGTGTCTATTCTGATATCTCTGCTGTGCCTGGACTACATTTTAATTCTTATAATTAACTTTCCATTTTGCTAATGTTGTTTTATGGTGCTTTTTTTACCTAGTTGCTTTTTTGTATATTTTACTCTGGATATTACTATTGTATTTATAAACAGGGCTGAAACCACTTTTCTCAAAGGAAGTCTATAGATTTTGGTTGGCAATAAAGTTAGACTTACACCCATGAAACTGTTTCCTATGCACATTTGTGATTGTAGTACCATTGCAAATATCATAAATGCCCCTGAAATCCACTTTAAAAGCCAGTCAACTATCCTGAACTATGAGTTCTGCTGCACTGGTAATTGGGGTGTTGCACGATGATGTGATTAGGGGTGCATTTACACTGTAGAAATAATGCAGTTTGATATCTCTTCAAGTAACTCCTCTACTATTTAAAACTATTCTATGGTTTTTGTTAGTAATGTCAGCAATGTGAATTGGTGATATCTTGAAGAATTCTTAATGAAATCACATGAATTGTAATAACCAATCAAAGTATTATTTATTTATTTGTTTGATTGCTATTTCACTCTTTCTCAAAATGGGACTAAAAGTGGTTTATAATATGACTTAAAACAAAATGTTGGAGTCTCCTTCTTTGGAGGTTTGTAAACAGAGGCTGGATGGCCATCTGTTGGGGGTGCTTTGATTGTGAGTTCCTGCATGGCAGGAGGGTTGGACTGGATGGCCCTTGTAGTCTCTTCCAACTCTATGATTCTATGATTCCATGAAAACAGCTAAAACAATATGTTATAAAAAGGTTAAAAAAGCATCAAACAATCCCATTAAAATTCTACTTTTAAGAAATTACTTAAAAACAATTTAAAGGCATAAAAACATATTACATATTAAGAACAGCACATCCATTTAATTAGTTAATTAATTAATTAATTAATTAATTTCTATGTCGTCTTTCTCCCACAAAGGGACTTGGGATGGCTCACCTATTGCATATCCTTCTACCCAAATCAGTTAAGGCTGAAGGCCTATTTAAATCAGAAGCTCTTTTCCTCCTGGCAAAAAGAGAGAGGAGATGGGACTGAGACTTTGTGTGTATTAGCTGGCTCCACAGCTGCCCTAATCTCCTCTGTTACCTAGCCCCACACTGTAGTGGCTGTCTGCATGGGTCAGAATGAGCAACCTGTGGTGGTGATAGATGTGATGGGCAGCTCAGTGGGACGCCCATGGAGACAGGTGCTGCAGCTTGATAATGGAGTGTTCCGGATCTGATTTACTTGTTTACTGTATTTATACCCTGCTCTTCAGCCAGAAGGGCTCTCAGAGTGGCTTACAGATAGGAGCTTATCACATGGCTTTTTAAATCGTCTTACCTCTCCTGACTTAAATTTTAATTCAGCTGGCCTCCTGATACTATTGCAGAAATTTTGCCGCCTAATCTGCCACCAGGTCCATCCCCCCTCCCAGGGGCTCAGAGCGACTCTTTTTGAAACCAGGAGTTTTCTGGCTTAAGAAAATGGCTGCTGGAGCACTCCTGGGAGTGAGGATGGACCCGGGATGGACCCAGGTGGCAGATTTGGTGGCAAAACCACTGTGATAGTATCAGGATGCCAACCAAATTAAAATTTAAGTTGAGAGAGGTAAGACATTTTTAAAAGCCATGAGATAAGCTCCATAGTTAATTAGTTAACCTAGTTAATTTTCCAAGCCTTAGATTCTACTACAGAAAATTACTTCAAAAAAGTAATTATGGGGGGATGCAGACAGGCAGCTGTGGGCTGCCCTGAGAAGCGGTGGATTGGGGCCGAGGCTGCCCCATGCCTTGGCCCCAATCCACTCTTATGCTGGCCCAGGAAGGAGCGCTAAAATAGTGCTCCTTCCTCAAGGCACAGAAAGGGTGCTGGAAGAGGCGGCGCGGGCCTCTTCTGCATCTCTTCTGTCACAGCGTCTCTGGATGCTGAGATGGAAGGATGTCATCAGAGTGCTTGCCATGTGCAATGGGGGCGCTCCGATGACATCCTTGGGAAAGGGTTGGGGTGTCCAGCGTCCAGCTGCTCCTCCCCTGCTTCCAAGACGGTGCAAAGCGCTGTCTGTAGAGGCCCAAAGTTACCATTATATTTCCACACCCCTATAAGTTGTACATTTAATATTAACTATATATTGGATGTGTTTTCAATTGTTTTAAATGTTTAATTGTTTCAAGTTAATGTTTTGATTGGATTAGTTAGATTCCACAGTGAGAACTAGTGTAGTGTAGTGGTCTGAGCATTGGATTATGATTTTGGAGACTAGAGTTTGAATCCCCACTCAGCCACGAAAACTCACTGGGTGGTGTTGGGCAAGCCATACTCCTTCAGCCTCAGAGGAAGGCAAAGATAACCTCTCCTTGATACATCCAGCTTTTAAATAGTTCAGAAGTTTTCCCTGTCTGTTTAACAGAAAATATACTATTTTTTGGTTGCCTTTACCCATCTCTGGTTTTGTTTTGGATTATTTTTGTCATTTTGACAGTCTTTGTAGTCCTTATACAGGGGCAGAAAGCTGGCTGCCAAACCTGCCAAAATTGGCCATCTCTGCTCCATTGGAATCCAAAAGCATCACCACAGTCAGTGTATCCTGGTGTTATATATGCAAATTATTCATGAGTGATCATGGCAAGGACCCTCTTCTCTAGGAACATCACAGCTGGCACATCAGCTTAAATTGTGAAAAAATACACTTGGCCATAACTACCTTGGTTACCTAGGAAGGTTCTCGAACAATCAAGAGCACAGTCTTGCACAAGCAAGCAACAGTTGCCCTGTAGAATGGTGCTCGTAGAATAATAGCTCTGAATGATTCTCAAAATATTTCAAGCCACACAGAGAAATGGAAGTATCCTTAGGATCACCAACCATCTGTTCAGCTGGGAAATTCCTTCATGGTACACAGTGGAGGCATCATGCTTTCAGTCTTCTAGATGAGCAAATTCCATATACCGAGTTATCCCCAAGTAAATGTTTTGCTGTGGGTTTCCTTTTGTTCCAGAGGAACTAGGATTCTTCTCAAGTCCCTAGGCAATATTGAATGGAAACCATTTTCTTATCCTAATAGACCAAATATAGAAACCACAATATATTTCTGAAACTATCTAGGACTGGGGTGTTTTATTTCTGCAACTGTTCCATGGAATTTTGAATTTTAAGTCATTTAAATGTAAGATCATAAAAAAGACCCAAGCCAGATCAGACCAAAGGCCCATCCAGTACACCTTTGTGTTCACATAATGGCATACCAAAAGGCTATGGCAAGTTCTGTAATAAGAATTTGACCTTGGGGAATTTATAATTAGCTCAAAAATA